AAAAAATATATATATATATATAATAGATAATATAGGTAATTGTTTAAGCCCCTACAACCCTAAACCCTAAACCCTAAACCCTAAACCCTAAACCATAAACCCTAAACCCTAACCCTACATTAAGTAGCCATGACAAGGGGCCCCAGGCAAACCGAGGCTCTGCGCTGCAACTCGCGCCAACGGTCCGAGGCCGAAGTCCTTCCGGGCTCTGAAAGGCGCTTCAGGGTTAGGGTTTAGGGTTTAGGGTTTAGGGTTTAGGGTTTAGGGTTTAGGGTTTAGGGTTTAGGGTTTAGGGTTTAGGGTTTAGGGTTGGGGTTTGGGGGTTCTGTGCTTTGCAGCAGCTCACGTCAACGCTTAACAGACTACAATATACTATGCTATAATATGCTATAGCATACCATAATATGCTACCGTATACTATACTATAATATACTAGAACCTTCAGTGCGGCAGGACGGGGTCGGAGCTGTCAAAGATCCGAAGGTCCTGCTTGGACATGGCCTCGTCTGTAGACGTGTCCGGGTCGAGAACCCGAGAGTCCCCCAGTATGGCCTGCGAGGGCACAGCGCGTAGACCCGTGAACGCAAGCCACACAGGTAGCTAGCTTGGTAAATAGTACGTAGGTAGGCAGGCAGGCAGGCAGGCAGGTAGGTAGGTAGGTAGGTAGGTAGGCAAGTAGGTCGGGAGGCAGGTGTAGCGGCGCAGCGAGGGAGGGAGGAACGGGGGGAGGTAAGCGCCCAAGCCACCTCGCATTGAATGATGCGCCATACACTGAAGCAGCAGATTGCTGCCACGACCAAGTAACCTCAGCCATGCAGGATCATGAGGCTTCAGGTTGGGTTCAGGAGCTTGAGACTATGTTCGAGCAAGTCGTCATGACTTCTCATGGCTGGTTCAACAATGATTGCCTCCAATGCAAGGCCACTGCCCAGCCAAACAATCGCAAGGTTTCCTAATGGAAGTACATTACGTCCAAACCTAAAACAATTCAGCAGCATCAATCTGCGATTGTCACCTCGACGCTCTGCCCCCATCAATTTGAACACTTCGGAGTGGCCTGGCACGGCGAAAGCCAGGCCCACCAAGCCGAATACATACCTGGGCTGTAGTATATTATAGGTTCTGCATTATAACATTATACATGATAGTATTATGTACTATATTTTGTCGTATTATGTATTGTAGAATGAAATCTGATAGTAGTATATATCGTAGTGTTAATTATGTATTGCAGTCATATATATTACAGTATTATGTGTTATAGTTTTTAAAATAAAATATAGTATTATGTTGCAGAATTATATTATGATAAGTTTCGGCCGCGCGACTCGGGACTATTCGGGACTCAAGTTGCAGCTCTTCCTCGAGAAAGCTGTTGGGTTCGGGTTACGGCTCCAATGCAAAAAGCCTCTGACAGCTGATCTGCGAACTGACGTGGCCGCCAACGTGGCCGCCAAGCTACGGCAAGCTCAGGACACCAGCACCCATCATGCCTGCAGCAGATTCAAGGATGGTTGGACACGAGCAGCTGTTGATGTGTTTGCTTGTTCTTTGCTCACATCATGGTGAAACTGCGGGTCTGTGTTTTCCTTTCGTCATCTGGCGCTTGAGGCACCAACCAAAGTCTGTGCTATGCTGCAAATAAGATTCGTGTATGAGGTCCATTAGGTAAGAGAGGCCTTGCGTAGCACAAGCTTTGAGCAGATGCCGAGAGCTCTGTACTGTTGATATTGGTTCCTAGTTGTATGTGAATTGACAAAATGTGGCGCTCCATGACAGAAAGTCTGTACTGTAAAGTAACAGGTCTTGGACAAATCATACACATACACTACGTCACGATGAAGCAATGGTCTCAGATTAGATGCTGGATGCTGGCTTTCCATTCCTGCCTTCCCTTCCTGCCCACCTCGTCCTTCAGGCCCCAAGGCCTTTCAGCTAAAAGCATACAGCCGCCATGCCGGCCATGCCTGCTACCTCACAACTCAAGCTCCCAACCTCTACGCAGAGAGCAAGCACACTAAACACCGATGAAGCCCCGCAAGACTGTTTCATGAAGTCTCTTTTGAGACCCCCTCCGGAAGCCTTTGAGGATGGCGGCCACCCTGAGAGGCTGTGCAGCTTTGGGCGGAAGTTTTGGATTGGAGTTTGGAGCGAAGGGCTAGAGCGCCCATCATGAATTCGGTGCAGGACCTCCAAATAGGGGTGACTTCAAGAGCTCTTACTTCCACAGATTTGGGATGGATTCACTGCGCATCGAAGCCAACCCTATTCTGATTTGTCTGAGCTTCGCCAACCGCGGTGAGAGGCCAGGTCCAGGTGACGACATTTCGGAAGGCAAAGGTGTGACGCGTGCGAGCTGTTCCCTGCAAAAAGCTGTTGTCTAAAGCGTCTAAAGTCTCTTGGCTAGGCCGCAGATGGTCCAAAGACATCACGCGTCTTGCAGAGGAGTGCTTTGCCATATTGTCGTTACGCCTACGTGATAGTGTCGAGGACTTCATGTAAATGGGAAAGGTTTAGGGTTGAACATTTCGGGGTTTGGGTTGTTCTGAGTTCCCACCACCCATGTGGTAGGGTAGGCCTTCACGATAGTCTGCTTGCCTCAATCTCGGCATAATATAACTATATATCTAGTCATCTAGTTACATAATCATGAAACTAAACGCAACTTGGTGCAAATTTATTCATGTCTATCTTCGGTCGGCTCAGTGAGCCTATTCCATCTTGAATCTGCCGATGCTCGAGCCGATATGTCCCGTGACCTGTCGGTTCAGATCCATGCACCAAACCTTGGAGAGCCAGATGCTTACTCGGCTAAACGATCTCCCCCCAATAACCCATAATTATACAAGATTCGCAAAAATCCCATTTGCATAAACCTTGGATCCTCAAGACCTCTTAGCTTTACAGTGGCAGCTGCCCTAGACAGGTGGCATGGCCGAAGCAGACGATTTCAAACCTACTTAGATGCTTTTCACGAACTTGGCCACAGTACACCAACTGTAACTGCAAACCATGGCCCAGTCATTGCCGAAGTGGGTTTTCCTAGGGACACATACACACCGATAGATGCGTGCGTGTATGTATGTATAACCATGTATATGTGTATGTGTGTGTGTACGCATGTACGTATGTTTGTATGCACGTACGTATGTATGCGTGTATTCGCATATGTATGCATGTACAACTGACTATCTGTCTATCTGTCTATCTCTCTATCTTTTGGCCTCTTCAGTGTTCTACATCTATACTGAGCACCTCTTTGTATGCTTGGGCCCACACCTCTGCACGAGGCCAGCCGAAGCCAGGGTCGCTGCAGCGCAGGACAGCGAGAGCTTCCGTGCCCCGACTCGCCGAGGGGCCGACATCTCTCTGCTCTGGGCTGCCCTGATCTCTTAGACTTCAGGGGGATAGGGTTCGGGCTTGGGGGGTCTTCTGTTGATCCCCCGCATTCCGCTCGTAATTGTATTATAGAGGATCGGGGCTTAGGGTGTCGATGGTGTAGCGTCATAGCGTTGAGGTGTGGGGCTTAGGAGGTCGGGGTTTAGGTTCTCTCGTTGAGGGTAGGCTCTAGGATGTACGGTTTTCCCAAGCAGCACTTGGCATCTCAGGGTGGCGACTTCAAAAGTCCGTGCATCTGGGTGGAGAGCTCATGGCTTGAGTGCAGTGACGGCAAGGCTTGGCGGCTGTGTAGGGTATGAGCTCTCGGGTCTAGAGTCTAGGATAACTTGTGGTCCAGGTGTTGATCCGAACTTCCATCAGATTGTTGGTAGTCTGTGGTCTTCGCTAGTCACATCAAAAGGCAGAGCTTACTTTCGCCCAAACCCTTCAAAGTGCAGAAGACTGAACTCCACCTTGGTACGGCAGCTCTTCCTGTGCCGGTCCATGCGTTGGCTTGTATTGAGCAGCTGTTTCGAGCCAACATGGAGCGCCAGGGCGGTTTTTGTGCCAGGGCCCTCTTTCAAAGAAGACGTAGGGGTGGGGTGGGGTGGGGAGGGGTGGGGAGGGGTGGGTCGGTGTGGTCAGTGGGTCAGGTCAGTCGGTCAGTCCGTCGGTCGGTCAGTCAGTCGGTCAGTCGGTCAGTAGGTAGGCAGGCAGGCAGGCAGGCAGGCAGGCAGGCAGGCAGGTAGGTAGGTAGGTAAGCACGTAGGCTAGGCAACTAAGACTATCTACGCTAGGTAGGCAAGTGTAGGTGGGTAGGTGGGTAGGTAGGTAGGTAGGTAGGTAGGTAGGTAGGTAGGTAGGATGGGTAGGAGGTAGGTGGGTCGGTGGGTAGGTAGGTCGGTAGGTAGGTAGGTAGGTAGGTAGGTA